CTTCCACTCAGTCCCCTGTCGAGCTCGGGTTGGAAGAAGTGATCCAGTCTCAAAACGAAAGTGAAAATTCAGCCAGCTTGTCCCCAGCCTGACTCCAGCCACCGCTGCATGGGGAGGAGGGTCTTGATCCGAAGAAACCATAGCAGTCTGCTGGTGGCCTGAGCTCTGAAACTGCAGATGATAGAACATTTTGACAAATGAAGCACACTCAGACTGTGTGGTAATGAGAGACCTCCCCTCCCCACACAGTTTCAGGGGCTTTGGTTTTGTAACTTACTTTTATGTTAAACAGGTGGATGCAGCAATGTGTGCTCAACCACACAAGGTTGATGGGCGTGTTGTGGAATCAAAGAGAGCTGAGGCATCATAAAGCCTGATGCTTACTTAGCAACGAATATTTATCATGGTGGTGTTAAAGAAGATACAGAGGAATTGGAGAGACTGCTTTGTGAAATATGGCAAGATTGAAACCATAAAAATTATGGAAGACAGGCTGGGTGGCAAAAAGAAGGATTTGCTTTTGTAACTTTAGAGACCATGATACAGTTGCTAACATTGTTGTTCAGGAACAGCACACTATTAATGGGCATAGTTGGGAATTTAAAAAGCCCTTTCTCATCAAGAGATGCAGTCTACTGCTGGATCTCCGTGAGGCTGTGGAGGTGGGTCTGGCGACTTTACGGGTCCTGTAGGAACCTGGGAGCTGGTGGAGGTCATTTTGGCCATGGTAGAGGCTTTGGTGGAAGAGGAGGCTGTGATGGTGGAGGTGGTGGCAGCAGAGGAAGTTATGCAGGAGGTGATGGTGGCACTCTGGCAGTGGTCCTGGTTACAGTCGCAGAGGAGGCTAAGGTGGACCAGGAGATGGAAACCAAGTCTCAGAGGAGGCTAAGGTGAACCAGGAGATGGAAACCAAGTCGCAGAGGAGGCTAAGGTGGACCAGGAGATGGAAACCAAGTCGCAGAGGAGGCTAAGGTGGACCAGGAGATGGAAACCAAGTCGCAGAGGAGGCTAAGGTGGACCAGGATGTGGAAACCAAGGTGGTGGATATGGTGGAGGAGGAGATGATGTTACAGTGAGGAATGAAATTTTGGAGGTGGCTGTGGTGGTGGTGGGGGAAACAACAAGCATTTGGGGAATTATGGTGGACAACAGCGATCAGATTCTGGCTTATGAAGGGGACAGTTTGGGTGGGAGAAGCTTGGACAGTCCCTGAGGCAGTGCTTATGGGATCTGGTGGCGGAAGTGGTGCATGTGGTAGCGAAGGTTCTACTAACAGTAGTAAGGGCTACAGTTCTTAGCAGGAGTTGTCAGGAAAGCTGCAGGTTACTTTCAGAGAGTCACCACAAATGCTTTCGAGGAACTAGAAATCTGCCAGAGAGGGGACGATGATGCACTGTCATAAAGGTTACTACAGCTTAAACAGGAAGCCCTGTTCAGGACTCTCCTAGCCACAGGCTGCAGTAAGCACAGCTACTGACTAATATAGTGTCAACTAGATGTACATTCTTGAGGCCTTTGATCTGTGGTAGCTTGGTCTTTTCTTTTCATTATATCAGGTATATTGCCCTGAAAATTGTGAGTCGTACTAGGCATAAAAAAATTAAGAAATTTTTAAAAGTTTTCAATATTTGTGCATTTCAGGTTTTTCTACATTTTAGTTCAGAAACTTCAATACAATGCAGTTTTGAAGGTGCCTTGTGAGTTAAAATGATTATTGTGTATTGCTATTTTGCATGAATTTTGCTAAAGTTAACTGTAAAGACATCTACTGACTTGTGGGTTAAGGGGAATTTATTCTCCCCATTTTCTAACCATTATTTGAATGGGCACTGACACGTGCGAGAATATGTATTTGTATGTTTGCAGTGTGTGTGTTAGATAAGTAGAATTGAGTATTTAAATTAGCGTATTTGTGAATTCAATAGTGTTAAGATTACCATCAAATTAAAAAACTTGAAATTTCTTTTTTTGTACATTTTCTTTCAAAATGTAATCATATAATTTTCTAAAGATTTATTTTGTTGTGTTGGAAAGTCAGATGCACAGAGAGGAGGAGACACAGAAAGATCCTCCATGTGCTGACTCACTCCCCAAGCAGCCACAATAGTTGGAGCTGCACTGATCTGAAGCCAGGAACCCAGAGCCTCCTCTAGGTCTCCCACACGGGTGCAGGGTCTCAAGGCTTTGGGCCATCCTCCACTGCTTTCCCTGGCACAACAGGGAGCTGGATGGGAAGTGGGGCTTCCAGGATTAGAACTGGCATCCATATGGGATCCTGGCCCATGCAAGACGAGGACTCCAGCCATTAGGCTACCGTGCCAGGTCTTCAATATGTAATCATATGATTTTAACGTGGTAGATTTTGCCGGCAGTAGTTTAGAACATCTCCCTTCTACATTTTGCCTTGGTCACATTTGAGCTGCTGTCGCAGTTTGGGTGTATAAAGAATGTCTACTGCCCTTGATTTAAATTCTAGGATCAGAGTGAGTGCTTTCCCACTTCTATCTTAAAAATCGTTCAAATGCTTTAAAATACAGGACCACTATGCCTGTGACTTCTGAGCATATTAGTTGGGTACCTTTATTTTTTATTTTTCAAGCATAAGAATTACATACCTCTGATTATTTTCATTGGCTCAGCTTTTTACATGGATTACAAAATCAGAGAGTAAAATTGATGTATTATTTGAACCTTTAATAAACTCACTAGATCTCAGCGATATCAAATGAAAAGCTGCTTTCCAAGGCATGTGCTGTGACCTTGCTTGATGAAGGGCATGAAGAAAAAACTGCTTCCAGCCATGAGTAGGCTGCAGGAACCTGCAGAAGTAAAGTGGATGCACTGTGCCTCAGATGGCCTGTCCACGTTAGTGGAAGGGGAGGGCAGTGAGCCAGCATTCACACATCCCTGAAAGGAAAGTACAACTGGAGAATCCACATACAGCCAGACACTGCCAGTGTAAATGAAGGTATTAGCAGCAGCAACGTTTGACAGTTGTTTGAGGAAAGCTCTGCAAAGTGTGCTGATCGCCAAGGGAGTCATCCACAATCCTCATGGGAATGTTAAGATGAAAGGAAAATTGGGGGGCATTGAACCTCCACGGAAGAAGATTATAATAAACATGTGCACAAAGATCCTTGGGAAAGGGCGAGGTAGTTACATTTCCAGAAACTGAAACACAATTTTGCATTCACTGAGCAAATACAAGCAGAATTGTGAGGTCCCTGGGGAGTGGGATAATGAAGGTGTGACAGGAAGTGTGCATTTGGCAGAGGTGTGAAAGAAAAAACAGCTCTGTCGGATATTGGCAAGGTTATCAACAGCAAAGCTCAGTTATTTAAAATAGAACTTAAACCTACATGAGCAATGCATGTAAGAACAAATGAAGAATAACTGGCAAGTTTGATTCTGTTGGTGCTGCCATGGGTTTGTGGCTGGAGAGACTTCCTACGTTGCCAGAATGCAAATGTTTTATTGCAGTATTTTGAAAATAATCTCATAACACTTTTTAAAAAATAAAAACAGCAAGTCTTTTCTTTGCCCCAGCAAGCCCAAGTTTGCAAATCTGCTTCTCCTTCTAAGAATCTCAGTCGAGGGCAGCTGCTGCTGCCCTGTTTGCAGAACGTGCTTAACCATCTCGCTAGTGCCCCTTCGAAGCCCCTGGCAACAACGACGTTAGCAGTCAATATACAGTGAGCTCTGTGGGAGAATCTGTGCAGCTGATAACAACAGAAAAAGATAAAAGAGAAGGTATATCTATAATTGGCAGTGAGTGAGCAAAGCAAGTTACAGGGAGGCAGATAGAGCCGGGCCTCCTCATGCACCTGCAGATGTGCAGAAGGCTACTCAGATTGCTGGAGCAAGGATGCTCAGAGGTTAGCACATTAGCTAAGGAAGGTGGGCACGCAGCTGACCAGCACCCTTATTTGCACTTCAGACTATTTGGGAGTCATTATGCATTACTTTCTTGCTTTTTTTTTTCAATAGAAGGGAAATGCCAATTAGAAGTAAAAAGTAACTAGAAATCCACAGGAAAAGAAGCTTTGAGAATTAATGCTAACTTCCTCTTTATATCTAAATTAAGTAGCTACATGACTTTTAATCTTCTTTTTCTTAAGCTGCTAGCACTAAAACTCCATTCTTCTCTGTATCTACCCAATGTAAATGCAAGAAAAAAAATTCCTTCTCATATTCAATAATGACCTAGAGCAAAAGCAGCAAATTGTTTTATTCCTGCCTTCGCAGCTGTGTGATGTCTTCTTAGAGGAGCGCATTAGGACTAATCCCAACACTTGCCCCTCTGCTCTTTGGTTACAAGTTAATCCTGCGTTGCACACTTTCATTACAGCCTTCTTTAAAGAATGAGAACTCTTGCTCATAGAACCAATCAAGGAAAAAAATGTGTGAGATGGCTGTTTTCCAAAGAGCAAATTCACAGTATTTATGTTGGATAATAAAAAATGGAATCTGATAATATAGCAATGTTATTACTTTTTAATAATAACATTATATGCACTTATGTGTGCACACACACAAATTGCTTGGTATAAAATCTTCATATTTCTGCTTATCATTCAGCCCAAAGCATGAAAGACTGATGACATTTTAACTTTTTATTTTGGTTTGGTTATGGTAATACATGTCATTATCTTGCAATATGTATGTGCATTATAGAAATTTAATCTTTATTGCAAGTATAATTTATACTAAAATTGCAATATGTGCAACAATTGTATAAACACCAATTGCCTTCAAATTATATCCAATAGTAGTTACAATGACACAATACCACTTGCAAGCATTCAAAATATTAACATTTTTCTACTGCAGTAACATCGCTCTATGAGGCTCTGGTTGAGGTGTTTCGGATCCATTTTAAGTAAAATGTGATGGTTGTGTGTGGCTCCTCAGTTTATGTGATCACAGTAGCTGACAAGCACATGAAATAATTTGAAGTGGATTATGGGCTGGCTTCCAGGTCACTGTGTCTGTTCCTGCAGGTGGCTTTCACAGTCCTCTTTGATTTGGAGGCACTCCTGAAGATCTGGTGTTTGGGATTTTCTGGCTACATTAGTTCATCTCTCCACAAATTTGAGCTGCTACTTGTCATTGGAACTACCCTGCACGTGTATCCAGATCTCTATCATTCTCAATTCACCTATTTCCAGGTAATACTAATCATGTCTACTTATCTTCAAAATTGTTTTTTTCCAAAGTAAATATTAGTGACATGATCATAACAACACAGAATATTTGGATAAAATTACTGTATAGCAAATGCAAATCTGACAACCTAAGCTTCTGAAATACTGCATTCATAAATCATAACTATCTTTGCAACTAATGAAAATTCAAATAGAAGGTATATATATATTATACAATGATATCCAATTAGCACTATGCAAATATACAAATTCATATACATACAGATATTGTATGCCTATCAGTGTATGCTAACTTTTAAATTGTATGAGATGCTAGCACAAACTTTAAAGAAGAAATATGAATTTCATTCCAAGTGTATCTCTACCCTGCAAATGTTTGCTAAACAATGATTTACAAAGGAAATAATAATTTATAAAATTTACCATTACATATTTTAATTACACAAACAGCATTTATAGCTGTCTATTATTCTGCATGATGATTAACTAATGGATTGTTAATTCTCACTTTATAATAATTGTATATCTATTTTTTCAAATGTGATATGTAAAGTTACATTGTTAAATGATCATTAAATAGCAATTTTAGCTATGTTCTTTAGGATTGTTGGATAGTCATAAGGGATTTACTATTTTTTCAAATACTTGGTCAACTATATGTGATATCCTAATCAAAAATATTCCAAATATTGATTACATTTTATCCATCGGCATAAATTAACATAGCAACACCCAAATATGCATTCATTTCTCAAAAGATGTTGAAATGTTTGAGAAAGGAAAATGGCGAGAGAATTTTAATGAATCAACTTAGACAGGATTCCAGCTCCGTAGAACAAAGGGATGATGTGCAGTCCACCCTCCTTTATTTTGTTGTTGGGATAACAAAGCTGTCATTTTGACAATAATATCAACTTCCAGAACAGACCTATAACTCAGGATTCCTAGTGCCTGGAAGAAAGGATGTGCAAATGTAAATCACCAAAAATGAAAAGCAGATCCCCTACCCACCCAGATGCAGGCTGGACCTCCAGGTGAGCGTCGCAGCCACGCATACTGAGAGTGCCAGAAGGTTGTAAATGGTTCAAGCTTTCCCTTTCCTCAACAGTTTTTGGCATAAGTTATCATTATTTGTTGGGTTATATCCTGATCCTTCATCAGCTTATGTGCGATGACAGGGACAGAGTTCTATGCCTTTGAATGAATAGATGCAAAAGCTGCATTCCTGCAGCACGTGGCAAGATCAGCTCTTGTCCATGCTGTCTGGTTTCACAAATTGCATGTGGGCACTTGGTGTCCATCGCAGGGCGTCACTGTACGTAATCATAGAGAAAAATACCCAGTGAGTAAAACACAAGATACTCTGTTGACAAGCCTGTGAAGCTGGCGAAATTAAGAAAAATATCACTGCCTATTTTACTATGAGTACTACATAACACATACCGAGAGCCTTGAAAATGGCTACATCTTTGACAGAAAATTTTCCAGGAAAAATATAATCAGACTCTTCCTTGCAAATAGTCATTATTGAATTGTTTATGTGAGCAAGAGTGGTAATTGTATAAATAAGCTGAATCACAGTGTGAATTTAAGCATAAAATAAATATAGTGAACTTCTAATAACTTAAAACCGTTATTGTTTTATTTAAATACACTTGGAAATTTTATTATAAGCAACTGCTCCTGTCATTGTAAACATGTATATGTGCATGTATATAAAATATCTACAAATTGAAATGACTAGAAATAAACCCACATATAATGCAACATATTGAGTATGAAACCAGAAACGTACGATCTCTAGTTTACTAGCCTGAACTTAGCTGTAAACATTCTATATATGGATAGATAGATCTGCAGATGTGGTCAATAGTAGTGAATCTTGCAATTTTAATGTTACTTTTTATTCCAAAAAATAATTTTCAATACTTTCTGGCTGGATGATAATCATTTGTATCTCAGTTGTGTTTATTTCTCCATCGAAATAAACAAAAGTGACCTCAGTTATCTTGTGGTTAAAAAATAATAGTAAGTCTCTGAAGAAACTGGAGTGTCAAAAAGAATGTTAGGAATTCACAGACAGGGAACCGCTGTCCAGGGTAGATGGCCTTGCTGCGTCCCCTGGCTCTCCTTTGCTGACCTTCACACTTCCCTCCATTTCTTCCTTGTGTGGCCTCAGGTCTGTCCCCAGTCAGCTTCACACCTTCCATACTTAACAGAAGTAAACCATTTACTGCAAGAGGTCTTCCTTTAAGCCATCAAGTATCTCTGAGATAAGCTAGTGATTGTTTTCATTCCCTGAATTGACATGATATTCACTGAGCACCTACCGTGTGGCCGGCACCACTGCATACTGGGAAGACAGAAAACATATCTTCAAAATATTACAATAAATATTTTGGCAGTTGTTATCACAAAGCTGCTTTCTTATTGAAAAATTACCTGATTATCATCTATTGTGATTTGAAAGTATATGGTAAAAATTATACAACAAGAACACCTGTTGGCTTTACCAAGGAATACCAAGCAATGCTTCATTTGACCAATGTGATTAGTCACATGCATTTCTTTCTTCAAGCAGCATGTTAAGCATTTTAGAATAGGCTCTTCCACCGCTTCCTCATTTGTCCAATTGGTTTACTTGACATGTGGCTCCAACGACAGCATTTGTATTTTGCAGACAATAAAAATGATAAGGCTTACCTGACCATTACCTGCCCCAATATTTACTCCAAGCCTCACTGATGGCAAAATCCAGCAGCTGCAATGTTTTTTGATATCAGAAGGTCTCCTTGCGTGCCTTCATTCATCATTCCTCTGTGCTGCCTTCTATCTCAAGCCAACCTTCTCCAGGTGGTTTGCAAAGATGCCTCCGAGGCTCAAGCTTTATGTGGCACCTGTGCCAGTACCCATGGGGAACAGAGCACATGCTCCTGATGGAGCTGTCCAGCACTAGGCCAGCAAGTGACCTGTGTCGCCATGGACACTCACGCTGAGCCTGCATCATGGGGGCTAGGGAGTCACTGCAGTGCCTCAGGGACTAACTGGAGGGGGAGTGATTTGCTAAAGGAGAATCAGGAAGAGTGAGACACTAGGCATTTTTATTTCAAACAAACATATATGCCATTTCATATGTATAAAAATTAAAATCTAGTTTAACTACATTTCCTATTCCTTGCTGTGTTCTAAATGCAGCATCTTTCATGTTCACCTTAATCTCATCTTGATGCTGAAACTCTCAGACTACCACTGCATACACAGTGTTTCATTTCTGCCAGCAGCAAAGCTTCCTGTTTTAATATCTGCAAAGTTCAACCTTGTCTCAGATTCAGTAATGCATTACACTTGGCAGTATTTCTGTTGCTTAAAAACACATAAAAATGTGATGACTTCCTAAGTAAACTTAATTAAAAGTGGTATTTTCCCATCCTAGATGCTCTAGCTTTTACTTAGAGTACAGCTCTTAAGGGCATGTCTAAGTAATTGAAAAGAATGATTCTGTGTATAAAGATTTATTTATATTTATTGCAAAGTCAGATATATAAAGAGTTTCTGTCTGATGATTCACTCCCCGAGTAACTGCAACAGCCAGAGCTATGCCTATCTAAAGCCGGGAGCTCTTCTGGGTCTCGCATGTGGGTGCCAGCTCCTCAGGCTTTGAGCCGTTCTCAACTACTTTCTCAGGCCACAAGCAGGGAGCTGGATGGGAAACAGGGCTGCCGGAATTAGAACCAACACCCAAATGGGATCCTGCCCCATGTAAGGTGAGGATTTTAACCGCTAGGCCACCGTGCTGGGCCCTAGCTGTATTCTTGTATTATAATCCCTTTATAGTAAAAATCATTGAGCCACATATGTCCAACCCTGAGCTTGGCACAAATCACCACTTAGGTTTTTTTTAATGAATGAATTATGGGTGAAGTTTTTGGAAATATACATTTGGGTAAATTTATCACATTTATAATATATCTGTACCTATGAATTCATGCATGGTATCAGAGGCACGTTAGACAGTTGTAAACTGCATGATTTCCATAAGGTGTGCTTCTTGCCACCTCTGCTCCCCGGGCTCAGCTGCGAGGCAGCCTGTGGCTTTGGATAAAGCCTGTCTTATTGTTCATTAGATCTCTCTTCTGGACCAAGGAGACACTCGTCGTTTCCATGCCCAAGCCAATGGAAGACATCAAAACAGTTCCCGGGGCAGGTTCCCAGAAGTTGCACAAAGCGTTGCTTTTACATCCTACAATCTGAGCCTCCTTCTCAGAAGACACTTAGCCGCAAGTACAGTGTGAAGCCCTGGGTCGAGTTGCCCACTAAGCTAAAATACAAGACTTTCCATTATTAAATGAAGGAGAAAGAGTACAGCAGTGTGCAATGAGCTACTAGTGCCTGCCACAGGCTACAGCAGTGTGCAGTGGGCTACTGGTGCCTGCCACAGGCTACAGCAGTGTGCAGTGGGCTACTGGTGCCTGCCACAGGCTACAGCAGTGTGCAGTGGGCTACTGGTGCCTGCCACAGGCTACAGCAGTGTGCAGTGGGCTACTGGTGCCTGCCACAGGCTACAGCAGTGTGCAGTGGGCTACTGGTGCCTGCCACAGGCTACAGCAGTGTGCAGTGGGCTACTGGTGCCTGCCACAGGCTACAGCAGTGTGCAGTGGGCTACTGGTGCCTGCCACAGGCTTTACTCTTGATAGAATCTTTTCATTATAATCACACCGTATTACCTAGAATAATTGTATTTATGAGACAATATAATTTTAACTTAAAGGTTTTCTTGGATGTTTCAACATTAGAAAAATTTTATTTTATTGCAACGCTGCATGCTTATAATAGCAGTTTGACTAATCTTATGACAAATCAGAAGGCATTTCCCTCCATTACAGCATCTGGGATCTATTGTATGTTTGCTGTATGGACGGACACTGAAATAGACTGGTGTGCTGCAGTTGCTCTGTTGTTTTGTTTGGTCTCTAGCTGCTCAAATGAAAAAAGTGTGATTTTAATAAAATGTATTGTTTTAAGCTGAACTTCTGTAAGACTCAGTGTAGCTAAGCCAAGTGTGTGGGGTTTCTGTCCTGCTACAGGTCCTTCGGGTGGTTCGGCTCATCAAGATTTCACCTGCCTTGGAAGACTTTGTGTACAAGATATTTGGCCCAGGAAAAAAGCTCGGCAGCCTGGTTGTGTTCACAGCCAGCCTCCTGATCGTGATGTCGGCGATCAGCCTGCAAATGTTCTGCTTCGTTGAGGAGCTGGACCGCTTCACCACCTTCCCAAGGGTAAGAGTCAACGCCCCAAATGTTTCACATCAACGCAACTTAACTTCAGCTGTGGTTGAAATAAGATCCTATTTTTGACAACGGGATAAATTTCAAGATTTAAAATTGCCTCTTCGATGGCATACACATGTTGGGGCACATTTTCAGCACTGAAATTCAGGCCCTATATTCAAGTCCTAAGACTCTGGGAATAACTTCATTAGAATCAGATACTGAAAGCAAGATCAAAGAAGGTAGGGTTCCTAACACCTATCAACAAAAACAGCAGAAATTTAATGTTCCCATATTCTGTTTCTCAGAGATAATACCACTAAATTTGTTTTGTAGTTCATGTATTTTTATGTCAGGTATAATCTAGAAGAAAACTTTTGATTTCCAATAAGAAAAACTCATGACCCCTTCAGATTTGAAATGTCTTTAGAGTGTGATCTCTGAAAAACTCCACATTCTTAACAACTAAAAGTCATCTATAAATAATACACATGTGTGTGAATAGTACACATGTAAAAGAAACAGCCTTTAGCCAAAAGAAGTGGAAATTTAAGTGAACTTAAATATGTAAAAAAGCATAATGACCAAGAAAAATGGTGTATATAATTTTTTAAATGAAAACTTAATATTTCAGTCAACTTTTCTTTAAGTTCCTTGTATTATCTGCTATACTGCAGATTTCCCATCCATTATCCCCAAGCATTTACTGAGATTGGCCTACCAGGAGCCAAGCAGTCTGGGTGGGCCTGGAAGCATTAAACCCAATGGAATGCTCCTGCAGAAATCCCCAGCTGAGGCAGGTAACTAAACAAGCTTGGGGCCCTGCAACCTTTGACCAAGGCAGGCGCAAGGCTTGCTGGGAACCCAGAGGTGGAGCCATGACCGGAACGTGAAAGTCCCGGAAGGGTTATTGGAACATAGTGCCTGAGGAGCTTTTGGGTGCAACCAAAGGACGTGTAAGGGGACAGCGTTCCAGCCAAGGACCCGTATACCTAAAGTCTCAGCTAAGCAATTTCTTGTTCTAGAACTTAAAGAAAAAAGAATCAGACGTAAGGGGAGGATAGAAGGTCAAGGAACTCTGAAGTTGGTTGCAAGTGTGATTGGATTTCAGCGCTAATAATGAGATCAGAGATAGAGGTTAAAGATGCATGAGGCCAAACGGATCGTGACCCGAAGTTCTGAGATGGAAGAAGGCCATGTCCAAGTGCCTGGGTTAGTGACAGGCCTGGGGGTCTGAGCTGGCAGGTGTGGAAGTGGACAGGACTAGCCAAACTGAAAAGTCACAACCAGACTGTCTTCCTGTTCTGTGCTCCTGGCTGTCACAGGCAATTCCAGGTCTGCTTCCGCAGTGCTCCATTTCCCACTGAATGTTACAGCGGTGGTCAGCTGATAAGTGGAGCAGGAATATGAAGAGGAGGATTCGTTTATGGGCAAACCCTCCTGAGCCGAAATCATCTGCTCCTTTAGGCCCCCAAAGATTCATGGCAATAATAATAATAATAATAATGATGATGACGACTAGGAGTGGAAGAGTACTGAGCCAAAAGGCAAAAAATGCCACAGCTGTAACTCCTGCAAGGAGAAACTTCCAGTGGATACACCTGGGCTAGGCATGGTGCTGTGAGCAGCAGTACAGCACCGCCAGGGTTGGGGTTAGGGAAGGGGAGGCGAATTCATGCTCTTAGCTCACTTCAAGTCTGGGCAGGAGGGTGGCAAGCAAGGAAGCCCACTCCGCTGTTCCGTCCCCTTTGGGCAAGCTTAAAAAGCGGTAACTATCTTACGCACGCTGAAGTTATCGTTACCATGGTTACTTTCTTAGTCTGGGTGAATTCCCATGTTACTGAAGGCCCAGGAGTTAAGCATTGTTCTAGTAACAGCACGTTAAATTGTGGGGTGGGGGACTAAGTACTGTTCTTTATGTACAGTCTTGACTTCAGATACTCCTCTTTTCCCATTTCTTCTCATTTCATCTCACTTGTCTGTGTCTCCAAGCCTCTTTGAGCCACTCAGTTTGAATTTTCCAGATATGAGAAGGATAATATCACCCCAGTATTGTTTGAATTAATGTTATGTAACCAACACATTAATATTCTAATTGGCAAACCCCATCCTTCAGAGAAAGGAGGGTAAAACCTGTGTGTTCCAGATCAGATTAGAATTTGTGGCTAAATGAACTACCAAAACAATTTGTTGAGAATTTGCAGAAACTTTTTGTCTATTTTTGGAGTTGTGAACCAGGAACTTGTATGAAAACCACAGCTTTTTACGTGTGTGTGTGTGTGTGTGTGTGTGTGTGTGTGTGTGTGCCTCTTTCACACGAGATAGATTTTACATCATGCCCCACAGCATTTTTAACTGGGTGGCCCTAGTCAAGTTGTTTTTTAAGTTTCCATTTTTTTCAAGATGCAAAATGTAGGTTAAAAATGGTATTGTCCTCCTGCCTTGAATAATGTCTGAAACAATGCAGCTGGGCCAAGGAAGCACTGTTTGAAAGGCTGGTTTATAGCCTAATTCATTTGAAGTTGGCAGCATCATCAGTCTATCATTCGTGTAAAAGACAAGGCTGCTTTGTAGATTATCCCTGACTTCAGTCCCCCTAGATTTGCTCTCATTTCCAGCCATGATAGTAATTAACTAGCATTGCGTTTTCAGATCTCCAATTACTCAATTGGGCCTTTTGACCTGATTACTTTAACCAGCATCATGAAAGCAGCCCAGCTCTGGCCAGAGCTCTAATCAGTGACTGAGCAGCTGATCATGTCATGTGCCTGCAAGGGGTAGGCTGTTCTTCCTACATACACGTAATTAAAGGTCAATCCCTTAAGATATCAAATTTTGTGAGAGATGTTAAATGTATTACATTTACAAAAAGGAGGCATTGCCATTCCTAATCAAATAAAGCACCAGGCATTGGCAGTTACTTCCTGACTAAGCATCTCCCTCCCTGCTTGTGAGCACAACTGCCTCTTTACCCTGTGGTTGAGTGCTTAATCAATTTGCTAACAAGAGTCAGCCAAAGAACAGCCCCTGAAAAGTGTACGTTTTCCATCACAATAAAAAATATTGAAAATCCTCAAGTAAAATAGAAGCTTGTAGATGCCAGCTTGACTTGAGTCTGGCCATCTCAGAAACTGCCTGCCAGCAACTTCTATAGTGCCATGGAATCAAGCAAGAAAGAAGAGAAGTGTTTGTGTGACTTAGGGAAAGCAAACATCTGCAGGGAGGAGGACTCAGGCAGGGGAAAGTAGAGCTGAGAGGGAAAGACAGGTGCGGTGGTGGTCCTGGGGAATTGATTTTCCCGTGGCATTTTATCCAATGGGATCTTGATTTAGCCAACAGGCGTTGTGTGCTGTCTCCAAAAAACAAACTAAACATGCAATTCAAACAGCTTACATTAGACCTGATTGGATCTTGGACTTTTGAAACTCTCGGTGAGGACTTCACATGGATGTGTGAAGTTGATTTCCCGATTCATTACGTAAGGAGAATGCAGAGAGAGAGAACAGCATCCCAGGCCTACATGGTGACTCGGATGGAGTGTCACCCATGTGGAAGAACCTGGTGCCCTGAGGTATTGATAAACTAATAGGCAGAAGAATCCTAAAGGGAAATGGGGCCCTAAAATCACACCCTTGAAAGGGAATCACCAAAGCCTTTGAGAATTTCACCCAGATGTTCATATGCTGTTGTAGCCCAAGAGGACCAATAGTTTTGGTCCATTTGGTCCATCCATTTTGCTTGTTTAACATTCTTCTTATCCTGCTTCTTATATTATGGATGAGGTACTAACATTATTGAAGCATCTCATTGGGTGGAGTCAGGAAATTGTCAGGACCTGAACTGCACCTGATGCTCCATGTTGCACAACAAGAATGGCATGTTCCAGCTGACGATGAGTGCACAGACAGGGCAAGAGTCATTCCAGAGACTGGTAAGGTGTTACCCAGAGAATGGAATTTTCCTGGAAGGATTCCTTGGGGGAAAGATGTGACCAATCCATTATTCATTATATTGGCCTTGAAAAAAAGTCCTCCTTGCAGAAGGACTTCCAAATAGAAAACAAATCATGTGGAAACAATAAAGGCATTATTAACTCTAGAAAATAGAATGTTCACCTGTACAAGAAGTATACCACAGTCCTTACTTAATTCAACTTATCTCAGCAATGGACATCATTTTCACCATTACAATGATGTAAATCCTGACTGCTCGGCTGGATAAAATTAGGAAAAGAGTTTAGAGAATGGTGATGTGATATAAGTAAGCTTAAATTCTCCTGTACTATATCAAGAATTCAAAATATGTGCAATATGGGTACATCAAGATGAACCAAATGATTCCATGCTACATGCACATTTTCTAAACCTTAATCTACATATATATATTTGAATATATATGTATATATTTGGTTGCCTCATAAACATCTCAACAAAGTATATTCAAAACTAAATTCACTGTGCTCCTTAAATAAGCCACTCTTCAGTGTGGCTTTATGCTAAGGCAAAGTACCAGCTTTGACTCAGGTTTCCTTTAAGAACCCAGGAATCACCTCTTTCTCACTTTCCCCTCCTATTCCCTGCATCTCCCCACATCCCAGTAATATTGAGTCTTATCAATGTTACAGGTTTCACATCTTCCAATCCTGTACCTTTCAGCCACCCTTTTGGCCACCACTCTAATGCAAACCACCATTCTCTCTCACCTTCATTATGCTGTGGGTCTCCCTGCCTCTATCCCATTTCAATTCATCCTCCACTTTGAGTATGAATAACTCCTCTGAAAAATAAATTGCCTTCTGATGCTGTCTCTCAGGTGTTTCCAAGTTCTGCATTCTCTGGGACAAAGAGCAAGCATTTGCATGTGGTGGGCACTGACTCCAACTCTTCAGGTTCATGTTTAAGGGTTTCCCCAACACAAACATGGCGTCTGTCTTGCTCATTGACTCCTCAAGGATGAGGACAGTTAGCTAATGAGTAGGTCTCTGAGCAAGTAAAGAGTGAATAACAATG